CTCTTGTGGGGGGACTTCAAAGGAGACCGTCCTGAGGTCAACTCTTGTGAACTGGTCCGTGCACGGGAGGACAAAAAATAAACCTGATTTTTTTTTTAAGTTTAGAGGTTTTTTTTTTATTTAAATTTAGAGGGTTTTTATTTTATTCTAATCATCGTCATCATCATCACCATCATCGTCATTATCATCATTATTATCGTCATCATCATCATCATCGTCATCATCATCATCATCGTCATCATCGTCATCATCATCACCATAATCATCATCATCATCACCATTATCCTCAACATCATCGCCACAATCATCATCAGCATCGCCATTATCCTCATCATCAACATCACCTGGTCCTTTGGCCTCTTGAAGCGCCCTGCCGAGGCGAAAGATGATTGCTCTTTCGTATTCTTGAACTATCTATAGATGATGATGATGAAAATGAAATCATGATGATGATATTGATGATGATGACGTAATGATGATGATGGTGGTTGTGGTGGTGATGATAGTGATGATGATGAAGAATATTATGCTAATGATGATGTTATCATCCTTTTTTTCAGATTCTTCATCCTAATCATAACCACCACCATCACCATCATCACCGCTATCGTCATCATTATCATCACCACTATCATCATCATCATCACCACTATCATCATCGCTATCATCATCTTCATCGACAGCACCATCGTCATCATCATCATCATAAAAATGATATTAATCGTCACCACCACCACCATCATCATCATCACCACTATCATTATCGCTATTATTATCATCAGCAGCAGCAGCATTATAATCACCACCACCACCGCCACCATCCTCTTCAAATGTCTCCCATCACATATAACCCCGACGCGCCTCCATCAGCATAATGACCATTGATGACTATCATTCATCTCATTCATCGTCATCGTCGTCATCATCATCATCATCAATTCTGGTCATCATCATCATCATCGTCATCATCTTTTTTGTCATTATTATTATTATTGTTGTTGTTTTGGTTGTTGTCCTTATTATTGTTGTTGTTGTTATCGTTGCGGTTCATTATCATCATTATCGATAGGCGACAACTCCTCCAGTAATGCGACCCAATTTTACATTTTCCTTAAAAAAATAATACACTAATTTTTTCTAAAAAACTTTCCCCAACTTTTAACACAACAAACCCTCACCCCTCACCTTTTTTGATCCACCGCGGCACACATATCTGCTCATAAAACACATAAAATACACACATTAAATTATTTTCAGCCCATTTCAATTGAGCCCCAAAATTTTACACTCTAACTCAACAGGGGTTCTGGTTGATGGGGTTTACACATTCCACGTTTGCATGGAATGTTTGGGTGTTTTTGTTGAATTTTAAAGAATTTATCGAGAAAAATAAGTTTCAATAAGTTTATTATTTTATTCAAGAAGTTTTTTTTAAAAGTTAATGCTTCAAAATTTTAGTCATTTTTATTATCTGTGTAAGTTAACTTTGGAAAATTTTATGAAAAAATATAATGGAAAAACCTTTTGCAAAAAAGAAAAAGAATTCGATGCAATTTTCATTTTGAGAAAACATTCTAATTAGAATTCATGATAGAAGTTTTAAAATTAAATTCAATTGAGTTAAAAAAAGTTTTGCAATCTTTAGAGGTTATTTAAAATAGGGGGATCTCATGACGCACAATTCATAATTCAGACAAGTTAATCAAACGAAAATATGACCTGTCTGCCTGACCGTCAGATTGATTACATCGTGGTCAGGCGGTAGCTCTCCCACCATGAACTTGAGGGGTTCTTTTTCTTTAATCCAATAATTTTTACAGTGTTTCACTATTGGTTTAATTTAAAATATACCCTACCCTGACGTGCATCACACACATTGTTTGCATTTGAACCCGGGAACCTGGTCACTGCAAAACAACAGCGAGTGGCAGGCACCATAAAGACGCCGATTGACACCACCGCGTGTGTTTGATCTAGTACACGATAATGGAAGCGGTCATTGTAATGATGATTTTAAAATTGTGTGTGTGTGTGTGTTTGTAAGCGTGTGTTGCGCTACCACTTATTCAAAGTTGTTTTTGTTGAGAACTTTTTAAATTATTAAATTATTTAAAATCATTCGCTAGAGTTTTGAAAAAATGTCACCTCAGTCTGTTGAAATTTATGTTTACATATACACTGAACTGAATGTTTTTGACGATAGCATTTCAAATCTTCTGAAAGAGTTTAGGTTTTGTAGCCAAACCCGGGCGAGCTAATCTTGTTAATCATTTGTTGATCCGCTTTTGTTTTTCATCCCTGGTCTCTTGTTAATTAATTAAACATGTTAAGTGGCAAACGCCGGTTGTATTCAAATGTTTACATCTAATAAATAGCTTCGAATTTTACTTAAATGAATTTTAATGGTTTTAAACGCGTGTGTGTGTGCGCGTTGATGCTATAAGTATGACGCAAATGATAACAAAGTCTACTGAGTCTAAATGTACCAGGGCCTTTTGAA